CGGAGGTGAAGAGGGTGGAGGTCCGGAAGTCGGGTCGGGGTCGGGTATGCACGGATATGACATTTACGTAGTATGAGGTCACCAATGCAATGGACTAAGACCGAGGTGGAGTCAAAGTCCGAGGTAGGGACTATGACGGAGGCTCGGAGCAAGGTACGAGCGGTGTCCGAGTGCGAAGTACGGGACAGCGGTGGAAGGTTGTAACTTGGCGGAAGGGTGGCAGAGGAGTAACGGAGGGAGGAGAGAGGGGACAGGTAAGGGGAGAAGGAGTGGCGGAAAGGGGAGTAGTCAGGTCCGAAGGTGAGTATCGGAGTGGACGGAGATAGGGTCGGGGAGGTAAGGAGGAGGTGTGTTGCCAGGACCGAAGGTGAGTATCGGAATGGCAGCGGTAGGTTATGACTCCGGAGGTGAAGAGGGTGGAGGTCCAGAAGTCGGGTCGGGGTCGGGTATGCACAGATATGACACACTCCTCCTTTGAGAAACACCATTGAGTCAAACCCTTGACCCTCGGTGTTGTTCCTCTTTCCAGCTCCCTTTGTCTCCTTTCATCCTACCCTTGTTCCTTTTGATTCCGGACCCCTCCTTATATACAATGTACCTAGTAACTTGTAACCTCAGTCCGAAATCAACTTGATTCCCCCCTAAGAGACTTCCCCTCTGCTAGATCCAAAATTAGGGACCCCCAGGACAACCAGCAATGGCACAGCACTCTGCATGAGTTGCTGAGGCTGAGGTCCTTCCATGCTAAGTCTCCGATCCATTCCAGAGTCATCCAAATCCGCCTGATCTAACACACCCCCTCAACATCGATCTAGTGGATCATTTTTCGATCTGCCTGATTATATTCCATACTCTCCATCACCTTCACCATTGCCATCAATTGATGAGATCTTACACTGCCACAGCTTCGGCCTGTTCATACCATTGTACAAATGCTTTTCCACTCATGCTTGTCCACCAAGCATATGCGGCATTGTGCACTGAAGGAGAGAACAAAGGAAGGTCAGTTGGGAGGTTCTGATGAGACCACCACCAAGCTGTTCCCTGGTTCTTTAGTCTGGATGGGGAAGTGTAGTAGTAGATTTGTTGTAAATTTAGTACCAATCTGAGTGTTTTGGCTAATTCTATTTTATGGGTTAGTCTAAAATTTCTGAGAAATGACTTACAGATAAACAAAGCCCTGCGGAACTGTTCCTCTAGTGTAATTTCTCAATTTATCTAGGTGTAATTCTGTGTAGGATCGTGAAATTTGGGTTTTTAACCTGAAATAAATCTTCTACTTGGTGAATTTTCAAAGATTCTGCTCTGTCAATGAGTTTAGATTGTGTCTGAGGAGTCCCTTGGCCTTGTCTTATTTTTGTCTAATTTTTACTGCTTGTTTTAACAGTAGCAATATAACTGTTTTGTCTACACTTTTGAAATCTGGAGTGTTAACCAGCTCTCCTGTAGAAATATTTCTCTCCCTAATTGCTGCCTTTTACTACAGTGGCAATCTTAACTGTATTTCACTTTTTCACACTGGAGTGATAACCGGAAATGCTTGAGAAAAATAATACTCTATTTTCTTACTTCTCTGAGGGGGGTGCAAAGTCGCAGAAAGGGTCTCCCTTTTATACTCCTTGGGTTGCCTTCCTTTTTCACACTCTGCCTCATATTTACAGGATTTATTTACAGTGTATTTTCCTCAAACTGAATAAAAATGAATTTTTCATGCTATAGTTCTACTGTGCCTAGAATCCTTATTGTCCCTCCTCACCTAAGCTATTTTTAATGTTTTAATTAGAACTTGACTGTGCTGCATTTGTCACAGTTCTTTATTTCAAATTCCTCTTCATTACCATTAATGTCATATCCATGCAATCCCGACCTCCGCTCCGGGCTCCCGGAACTCCAAACTCCGACTTCCGGAGTCCTATTTCCCTTCTGTCACCTCCTCCTTGCTGACTCCCAAGAGGTTATCCCACCTCCGGCTCGGACACCACCTTCGGTCCGACTCCGGAACGTTCCGGGTCCGACCCCAACCTCGACACCTTCCAGACGAGTACGCAAAACCTATGCTCCCAACTCCGGGCCTCCGCTCCGGTATTCCGTTCACATCTTGTCTCCGGAACCTCCGGTCTTAGCTCCAACCTCGGACTTTGACCCCACCTCCGCTTATACCCATTGTATTGGTTAGCTCATTCCATTTAATTACCTTTGCCAATATTCCGGAGTTTAACCTCCGAGTTCGGACTTTCCGGACTTACTCCGGACCTTGCAACTATTGCATTGTCCATTTCAATTCCGCTATTCTCCCTCATTCCTATTTGGGCTGCTGCTTCCTTCTATTCAGTCAGCTAGCCATTCCCGACTCCCATCCTCCTTCCTTCCTCCTTGGGCCTTGGCCCTTCATTCCTCCTTTGGGAAACACCATTGAGTCAAACACTTGACCCTCGGTGTTGTTCCTCTTTCCATCTCCCTTTGTCTCCTTTTGTCCTACCCTTGTTCCTTTTGATTCCGGACCCCTCCTTATATACAATGTACCTAGTAACTTGTAACCTGAGTCCGAAATCGACTGGAATTCCCCCCCAAGAGACTTTCCCTCTGCTAGATCCGAAATTAGGGACCCCCAGGACAACCAGCAATGGCACAGCACTCCGCCTGAGTCGCTGAGGCCGAGGTCCTTCCATGATAAGTCTCCGATTCCGCTCCGGAGTCGTCCGAATCCGCACGTTCTAACAATTAAGTTCGCTATGACTTGGTGATTCTGAATTCAGACTTTGAGTTACTGCACGTACAGCTGCACTATGACTTTCAGTTGATTTATTCTATCTTTATCCAGTGACATTTAGTTGAAATGAGACTTGAAATGATAAACAAGTGAAATTGTTCAAGTTTAGAACCAAAATAAGAGTTGCTAGTAGTTAAGAATTGATCAAATGAATGTGTTAGAGCTCTCTGCCTTATTAGTATATCGTTCCCTAAAATTCCTGCCATGGTCCATCATAGTTTTGTGGTTTTTTGTGGTGTTCATCCATTTCCCCTGGTTCCCATTTGTATTATTGCATCCTAGTCCTTTGTATGTATTGTTTGTTGTTATAATAAGTCGTCCTCAATGATATCATATTTTTATGAGTTTTATTCGGGGCTTGGGAAGTTGTCTTTCTGTGTGTCTCCAGGTTACTAACTTCATGTCCTTATATCTCACTCATTTTTGAATGGTTTTTCACATTCTCAGCATCATGAATTTTCATTTAATCCAACCTTTCTAACAGTACTGAAGTCGTACTCTAACTCTTGATATTTGTCAAGTTAGCAAAAGTTTGCTTGCACAATTGGTAATCATGTGTGTTGTTCTCATACTCATTTGTATGCAGGTGCCGTTTCTGTTTAATTTTTCGGGATTTATTGTATGCGTTGGTGTTTGTATCCTCAATACAGGCTTCCATAATTTATTTCAGATTTTTCCCTCACAATCTAAGGTGTTTTCACATTCTCCATGCTTTGTTTTGACAATAGTTTTCCATATTTGGACAGAAATTGGTCTTTGCGATCTCCCGAAGTGCAGATCTTGGTTCTGGTGGCCAGTTCCCTTCGCATCGCCACCCTCACATGTCCTTTGACATAGTGTGAAATACTCTATTCCTGTCACTGGTGTAACTTCACAATGGATGGGCCGTTTGGCCTGATACTTTGCATAGTGGTAGTTTCTTATTTATCATATTTTCCATGTAAATTTTGTTATGTGTTTTAAATATGGATTTTGCGTGAACATTGACGTTTCCCTGAGCTATGACTTCAATGCCGCTGAACCCATTAATGAATATCTTGTTGATGCATGAACCTTTACTATGAAAGTTTCCATGGATTAAGAATAGATCCCTTCCTTTTTAATGAGCTATCAAACTCATCTCGGTCATTACTGGTTGTTCTTTGCATTTCCCTTTGAACATTGTCCTCATTTCCCATGAATTTTGGCTATTCCTCCATTGTCTTTTGGTAGTTTTTCCTGAAATTTCCTTTATTGAATCTATTTAAAAGGCCTCTACATTCACTATTATAAACACAACATCGAGTTTGGCATTGGTTCCTACAGAATCCTTGTTCTGTGGTACTTCCGGCCTCAGCTATGCATGCAGGTGTGGGAAAACAGTTTCCGTGGAGGTTTTCTGGTTGGTTTTATAGTCAGATCTTACCCAATTGATCTCGTTCCTTGTTTGATATTCGCTATAAATTCTCCCAAGCATTTTGTCTTGTTGATGCTAAGCTTGAAGTATTTTTATTAATTTTCTATCTTCCTATTTGTTGTATGTAGTCATAAAAATTCGTTATAATTCAGGTCCTTCTATCCTCTCATTCCTACTTGTCGTATGGGGATTTTGTGATTTTTCTGGCATATTTCCATAACAAGTTTTCATAGGGTGACTGTTATTTCTCCTACAATGTACAACTCCAAAACAATGCAGCAAAGAGACTGCAATGCCCCTTGTACTTTCCAGTGCACACTGACCTGGGAACTACAAGGAGAAATAGGCAGACGCTTACATGTCTGGTTTGATGATATCTTCACCAGCACAAGCTTGGTGGAGAACCACAATAAAGCACTATTGTGGTTGTTCATTTGCCTCAAGGGGCGAAGTTCTACATAAGCTGGAAGAAATTCCAGCTGTTTGCTCCAATCCTAGATGTCTTATGAAGCTGCATGGATGGACAAGGCATCCATGCTCAAGTGGATAAAATGGGAAAAATCCACAACTGGCAAGAGCTGGTGGACCACAGGAGTTTTATGATTCCTGGGAATGGTAGAATATCTATCGATATTCATGCTGAATGTCAGTGGCTGCACAGGGCCACTGCAAACAATCTGCTCAAACAAGCAGATATTCAGGTGGACCCCACTCCACCAGAAGTGCTTCAACAAGCTCAAACGTCTTGCATGCAGGGCTCCAATCCTGAAGCCTGTCCAGTAGAACCCACTAGAAAACCTCTTGACAGAAGAGAGGGAGAAACTCCACATCTGGGTTACAACAGATGCATGCCCAGCAGGCATGGGTGCACCAATTGGACAAGGCAAAAAGTGGCAAACTTGCCACCCCACCACATTCATGTCCGAGAAGTTCACCAACACACAACATAGGTACTTTGCATACAAACTGGAGGCACTCATGATGACTGTTAGAGAGCAGCGGTTGCAGATGATCCCAGAGAGGAATTGGAGACTTAGCAAGGAGGGACCTTGGCCTCAGCAACTCAAGGGGAGCGCTGTTCCAAGCTTCATAGACCCCCTAGGCACTTTCACTGCTTGTATTCTATACTTTGCACTTCTCCCTCACCCTAATTTGGACTACTGCTTCTGTCATATCCGTCCATGGCCATCACCCTCCACTACCTCTGGTCCTTCTGGATTACCTCCACTCCTTCGTCACTAACCTTGGAGCCTCCATATTCCACAATCCCCTCTGACACCCCTGATGGTCACCACCCCCTCAATTCAATATATTACCTATGCCTCCCTAAGTACGGAGCCCCAAAGGCCTCCGGACAGCTCCAACGTCTGCTAGCACACCCCCACCTCCACTGGGCAATTCACTTGCCTGCCCTGCAAGTCGACCTTTGGGCTGATCCCTCCTTTCCATTCCTGGGTTATAGCCCATCACCCCACTAACCCTGTAATCCAACTCATCAGTAATATTCAGTCGGCTACCCTATAAACCTGTTAACTCTGCTCCACTCAGTCCTGCCATTCATGGGCCTGCCCTCTATGTAACTATATATACATAAATAGGTGTTAGGGCACTGTCAGGGACAGCTCTGAAGAGGTGGGGGTAGCGGTGTGATGCTCCACATTAGCGGCCTGGATGGTGGCAGGGCAGTGAGACTGTATGGTGGGTAACCCTCACTTGGGTGGATGTCCCTGTGCGGCTTCTTAGGCTGAAGCAGGAATGTATTGTTATTAAGGTGAAAAGCTTACCTAGGTTGAAACACTTGCCTGAAGTGGGAATGAGAAGAAGGCTGCTTCTTCAGGCCTGCTTCGGCTGGGTTTATATACATGTGAAAACGGGTCACATGGAGGTGCCACGTCGACCTTGGATGAAGCTGGGTTGTCACGGTGAAGGAGAGAACGAAGGAAGGTCAGTTGGGAGGTTCAAACGAGACCACACCAAGCTGTTCCCTGGTTCTTTAGTTAGGATGGGGAAGTGTACTAGTAATATTTGTTGTAATTATAGTACCAATCCGAGTGTTTTGGCTAAATGGGTTATTCTAAAAGTTTCTGAGAATTGACTTACAGATAAACCAAGCCCTGTGGAGCTGTTCCTCTATTGTAATTTCTTAATTTGTCTGGGTGTAATTCTGTGTAGAGTTGTTTAATTTGAATTTTAACTTGAATTAAATCTTCTACTTGGTGAAGTTTCAAAGATTCTACTCAGTTAATGATTTAGATTGTGTCTGGAGTGTCCCTTGAGTTTGTTTTATTTTTGTCTTATTTTATTGCTTGTTTTAACAGTAGCAAAATAACTGTTTTGTGTTTACACTTTGAAATCTGGAGTGTTAACTAGCTCTCCTGTTGAAATATCTACTTAATATTTCTCTCCTTAATTGCTGCCTTTTACTACAGTGGCAATCTTAACTGTATATCACTTTTTCGCGCTGGAGTGACAACCAGAAATGCTTGGGAAAAATAATACTCTATTTTCTTACTTCTCTGAGGGGGGCAAAAGGTCGCAGAAAGGGGGTCCCCTTTATACTCCTTGGGTCGCCTTCCTTTTTCATGCTCTACCTTGTATTTACAGGATTTATTTACAGTGTATTTTCCTCAAACTGAATAAAAAATGAAATTTTCACGCTATAGTTCTACTGTGCTCAGCTGTGCTGAACTGCAGCTCTACTGCGGTCAGACTGCACCTAGAATCCTTATTGTCCTTCCTCGCCTAAGCTATTTTAATGGTTAATTAGAACTTGACTGCGCTGCATTTGTCACAGTTTTCTATTTTGAATTCCTCATATTTACCATTAAGTTCGCTATGACTTGGTCATTCTGAATTCAAACTTCGCATTACTATGCGTACGGCTGCGCTGAGACCTTCAGCTGATTTATTCTATTTTTATCCAGTAACATTTACTTGAAATGAGACTTGAAATGATAAATGAGTGAATTATTCAGGTTTAGAACCGAAAGAAAAAGTTGCTAGTAGTCAAAAATTGCTCAAACAAATGTATTATAGCTCTCCACTTCATTAATATATCGTTCCCTAAAATTCCCACCATGGTCTGTCATAGTTTAGTGGTTTTCGTGGATTTCATCCATCTCCCCTGATTCCCCTTTGTATTATTGCATCCTAGTCCTCCATATGTATTGTTCGTTGTTATAGTAGGTCGTCCTCGAAAATATCATATTTTTATGTATTTTATTTGGGGCTCTGGACCTCTGGAAGTTGTCTTCCCACGTGTTTTCAGGTTTCTAACTTCATGTCCTTGTATCTCATTCATTTCTGAATGGTCTTTCACGTTCTTGGTATCATAAATTTCCATTTATTCCCACCTTTCCAATGGTACTAAAGTTGTGTTCTATTTCTTGGTATTCGTCGAGTTAGCAAAAGTTTGTGTGCACATTCGGTAATCATGTGCATCGTTCCTGTAGTCGTTCATATGTGGGTGCTGTTTCTGTTTAATTGTTCGGGATTCATGATACGCTCGGGTGTTTGTATCCTTCATCTGGGCTTCCGTGATTTATTTCAGATTTTTCCCTCATGATCTAAGGTTGTTTTGTACTTTCCATGCTTTGTTTTGACTGGGGTCTTCCGTATTTGGATGGAAATTGGTCTTTGCGATCTGCCAAAGTGCGGATCTTGGTTCCGATGGCTGGTTCCCTTTGCATTGCCACCCTCATGTGTCTTTAAACATGATGCAGATTTCTATATTCCTGTCTTTGGTATAACTTCACAATGGCTGGACCGTTTGGGCTGAAAATTTGCATATTTATAGTTTCCTATTTATCATAATTTCCGTGTAAATTTTGTTGTATGTTTTGATTATGGATCCTACGTAAATGTCGTCTTTTCCCTGAGCCCGGACTTTTGATGTCGCTTTTCCCATTATTGGATATCTTATTGATGCATGATCCTTTTATTATGAAAATTTGGGTGGATTAAGATTAGATCCCTTCCTTTCTAATGGGCTATCGAGCTCGTCTCGGTCGTTACTGCTTGTTCTTCGTGCTTGCCTTTTAAACGTTGTCCTTGTTTCCGGGAGTTTTAGTCATATTGTCAGGGACCGACCCGGGGTCAAGGTGTCCGGGTATATCACCCAGGGCTGAGGGCCCAGTAGGGTGCAGTGCGGGCGTGTGTAACAACGGGCCCGAAGCAGGCAAGGGTCCTTGGCCACTTAGGCTAAAGTGGGAAGTGTGAGAAGAAGGTTACTTCTCAGTTCCCACTTAGGCTGTGTTTATGTACATGCGGTTGGAGGTCACGTGGGGAGCGCCACATCTTCTACGCGCACAGCCGTGTCCACCTGGGCATCTCCATAAGAGGTCTCAGGGGCGTCCGGTGTGTAGGGCATCACCCGGTGTGTCCGGGTCCGGGTGTGTTGCGCAGTCTGGTTAATGGTACATCGAGCAAGGAAGTTGTCTGTGTAATAGAAAAGGAAAGAAGGAGAAAGAAAGGAAAGAAGAAGAAAGAAGAAGGGGAAGGAAGAGGGAGAGAAGGGAGGAGGGAGGATGGGGGCAGCAGGTGAGGGTAGTGGAATCGGGTGGGGTCGGACCAGATGGAGTGGGGTCAGGCAGGTGTGCCCTGACACATATCTCCGTTGTTTATGGGTGGTTTTCCCTGTAATTACTTTCATTGAGTCCGTTTGGGAGACATTTACATTTCCTATTATAAACACGACTTTGAATTTTGCATTAGTTCCTAAGGAATCCTTGTTCTGTGGTACTTCCATCCTCGGCTACATGTGCGGGCGTGGGAAAGTAGTTTCCGTGGAGGTTCTCTGGTTGTTTTAATAGTCAAATCTTGGTCGATTGTCCTAATTCTTTGTTCCATATTTGCTATAAATTCCCCTGAGAATTCCGTCTTGTTGATGCTAAGCTTGAAGTATTTTTGCTAATTTTCTTTCTTCCAATTTATCGTATGTAGTCATAATAATTCGTAAAAATTTGTTAAAATTCAGGTTCTTCTATTTTCTCATATCTACTTGTCATATGGGGTTTTGTGATTTATCTGGCATATTTCTATAATGGGTTCCATAGTGTGACCATTATTTCTCCTACAACAGGCAACTCCGTGGTCTATCCCGGGTGTAAGAGAAGAGAAATACAAGTAGGGATGCATGGCGCATTTGGCATTGCAGTACCTGTGCAGGGTGCTTGGCATTGGACGCGTCTGTGCTACAAATATGAAAAAGGGAGAGGTCGTCCATATAAGGATAGAAAGGAGAGAGAGAGAGAAGAGAAAGGAGGAAAGGAGGAAGGAGACAGAGGGAGAAAGAGAGGGCGGAGAGGGGTGTGGTGCGACATGCCCTGACATTGTCATATCCATCCCTGGCCATCGACTTCCACTCCCTCCGATCCCTCCGGTCTACCTCTGCTCCTTCTTCACTAACCTTGGAGCTCCCATATTCCGCAATCACCTCAGTACCTCTCGATGGTCACCACCCCCTCTTTTCAATTTATTACCTATGCCTCCCTAAGTACTGAGCCCTGAAGGCTTCTGGACAGCTCCGACATCCGCTAGCATACTCCTGCCTCCGCTGGGCAATACACTCACTTGCCCTGCAAGCCCACCTTCGGGCCTATCCCTCCTTTCTGTTTCTGGGTTATCACCTACCATTCCGCTAACCCCGTAACCCAACTCGTCAGTAATATTCAATCGGCTAATGTCTAACCCCGTTAGCTCCACTCTGCTCAGCTCCACCATTTGCGGGCCCGCTCTCATTGTAACTATATATATACTCAACTTGTACATAGGTTACCCCTCAGTAATAAAATCGACTAGAGTTTACCCCCTTCAGTTCTGGTTGCCAGTTTAGTAAGTTAGGGCATGGATGTGTTACTTGGCACAGTGCTCCTGGCATAAGTTGCTGAGGCCGAAGCCCTCCACCACGGAGACGCTCCTTTGTCTCAACCTGGTCTCTGACAGACATCACCCCCCCCTTAAGCCGCTTTGCCTCAAAGTGGCTAGGGGGTTCTCTTGTTCCCTTCCAGGGGCATCCGGGTGTGCTTTGTGAAACTCCTCGATTTGGTCATGTGCATTGGTCAGGTTGTCAAGGGGGAGCCATTTGTTCTCAGAGTTTGGCCAGCCTGTAAACTTTGCCAAATACCAGAGTTTTCTGCAGCGCCAGCAGGAGTTGAGGACCTCCTCGACTTTGTACTCTTCTCCCCTGTCGATGATTTCGGGGCCTGGGCGGGGGTTGGTGGGTTGTTCGGTGATCGCATCTG